CACACACACACACACACACACACACACACACACACACACACACACACTCACTTACTCACTCACACACACACACACACTTGACTCTAGAAGAGTCAATACACTCAAGCAGAAACATATATGAAGACATAGTTTGTTCTTGCCTCAGACAAACCAGGCACGTATACCACGTACAGGACACTCTCTCTCACACACACACACACACACACACACACACACACACACACACACACACATTCACAGCCTTGGGGCATGTAAGCCACAGCAGCTACACAACGTGACAGGCCTGTCTACAGGTGGTGCGAGATGCACAAATCAGCGAGACCGGACATTACAGAGCCACAGGCGAGGCCGACACCCCGTGTGTGAATACACAGACACACGCACACACACACACACACACTCACCATTCACACGGAGTGCAGCCTGAGCAGCGGTCAATCGCTGGCCGGGTCGCAGTAAAAGTCATGAGGAATTGAAGCGAAGAGCCGGAGGGATGGAGGAGAAATAACAGTATGTGTTCCATGTAAATTTGTGAGTGGGAAGGCCAGAGAGAGGAGCAACAGAATCGATAATCACGCCGCTGGAAAGTAATGTTCATCTCCGTGCCTCTCCTCTCTCTCTTTTTTTCTCATTTGTGCCTCACACACTGTCGCTCTCGGGAGGATGCAGTGAGCAGGATGAATGCTCCAGTCCTTGGCCCCGTGGTTAGCATTCTGTCTGCATCTTTCTCTTCTCTCAGACAAGTGAACAATCTGCAGCTGTTGTTTGCAACACAGTTTCACCTGCTTGAGGTGCAGATCACATCGCTCCTGCTGTGTCGAGAACACAGCACAGTTGATTTCACTACAATTATCTTTGTAGGGAAACTTATCTTGTTTTAAGAAAATACAAGACAACATTAAATAACTCGCAGACAAATTATGTTTAAAAGTAAGTGTTTTTTTGTAATACGTACACATGATACATTATATATTAGATACATATATTAAATGATTTTTAAATGACCTTTTTGAAAACCTATATCGTTTGTATTAATATAAACACAAGAGCACGTCAAAATTGTATTATGGGGAATGTCAAATCTTGTACTTTTTACATATTTTACTATATTTGAGTTACCATGTGAATGTGTGGGAGACATACATACCAACATATTTCATGAAAAAATGCAGATACTATGCTATAATGTATGTGTTGTATAGAGATGAATTAAAGGGATGATATGAAATATAGAGTAATATTTATGTTTTGTGGACTGCCATTGGTTGTGTATAGTTTCAGGGACCTGGTGTTGTTAATGCTGACTCATTTCAAGACTGCCATGACTCACTGGGCTATTTGAATAATTCAAAGCAATCTTTAATGTAATTAGTAACAGGCTGTCTATGGTTTCCATCCAAATGTATTTTTGAATGCTTGTTTCCATCCACTACCAGTATTTGATTACTCAGAGTTGGTTATCGGAGATAAGCAGTTGCATGCTCAGCATTTATTCCCTCAATCTGTTTTCATTTCCCTTTCTCACGTGCTTTGCTTTGGATACACCAAATTTTCCACCTCAGCCGAGCAAAAACAAAAAAAATCAAGATTCTTTCAGATTTTCTACCTTTCCAACCATTTATGCGTCAATTAAAAACATGCATCAAAAAGGCAACCTACTGTCTGTCTGTGTTTTATAAATCAATCCCTTGTTCACTCATTCACTACTCCATATGATGCGATCAATAGTTTAGTCTATAGTGAGCAGTAGATTTCAGTAAGTAGAATCTACTTTATAGTAAGTAGATTTCAAACACTTACTAATCATCATCATTTAGCATCTCTGACTCGTTCAGAGTCACATCTGTGAAATACAAAGAGAGTGATTTCGAACATAGCTTATGTCTTTATCATTGTAGTGGCCATTTGTCCGCTAAATCAAACTTAAACAAATAATAATCAAATGCCACTGATGCACTGCGGTCGGTATTTTTACGCAGCCAGAAGAGAGTGAAATGTCCAAGCAGGATTCCGATTTTTGTATTTATTAAATAAAGCAAACAAAACAAACTAACTAACTTAAAGAACAAAGAAAACTCCTGTCGTGCTGTCTCTCCTGTCATGTGCTATGCTGCTGGTAAAAACTATGCGCCCACCCCGGTGCATGCTGGTCCTATCTGTCTACTCCTATATATATATAGCAACAGGTGCCCACAGTAATTACCCAAAAAACAATATAACTAAACAAATTACTATTAAAGAGAAAAATAATCTTAATATATGAAACATCTACAATAATTAAACAATACTACTTATAAATTAAATAACAAAATACAATATCAAATAAATAGCTCCAACAATCATCTATTTATTTTGACAACAGGGCATGTGGTATATAGGATTTTTTATTTTTCTCCCAGCTTCTTTTCAATCATGGGATGTGTATCATTTTTCTTTTTTAATTGCAGTGTAAATTCTGTTTAAAATGGCACGGGATAACACACTGAATTGACTTAATTACAGAGTGAATGAATATTTCTAGCTATGCAAGCAGAGTGGCTCTACAGATGGCACATGAAATGTCTCAAGAACAAACATATATGGCGCAAACATCCATGTTCCCCACTTTAACAGTAATTATTTTGCTAATCAAATAACTTTTCCTCTAACTGCATCGCCAGGTTAACATTTCGGTTACCAAACACCTGTAACACTAAAGACATTCCCATCAGCCTCAAATGTACTTTAATGCTAAACATCCAACGTTAGCTTCTGAAATCTCAGTTTACTCCTCACTATTGATATTGAGTATCCAATAGGGATACTTAACGAGTGAATGATTTCAGACACAGCTTTAGTGAGGTGGTCTTGTTCAGCTCATCCATCTTTACTGCCATGGGCACTTTCCTTTTCAACCTTTTTTTTTAATCTTCTGATCTAGCACACCGAGCCTGTTTGTGCATGTGAAGAGAGAAGACACAAGTGTCACTCTCCGTTCAGTTATCCCTATAAAGTGCAAGAATGATTGCATACTTTGTTGTTTTTGTGGTGCAATATTTCCCCTCTCGTCCCATCTCGCTCCACTCGGCTCTGGTTAGAGGATGAGATACCGCCTCATCTCCTAATTAGTGGACACCCAGGTGGTATATATATATATATATATATATATATACATAAACATAGACATATATATATATATACATGATGGTAAAGCTTATTATTGTACCATGCCAGCTCTTCGGGCATTTTACACTGTCATCATCGTTACGCTGAACGGGTCCCTCTGGCCATAGCCGAGGTTATAAATATACATGTGTTTATCCTCCTCGAGAAGCAAAGCACAACTAATCCCACCTCTATTTGGTTTCCGTTTGGCAGCGTGTAAATATGAGGCACCGTCTTGTGCACGCGTTTCTGAATTTGCATTTCTGTGAGAGGAGGCATGCCGCATCTCATTTATGACTCCAAACCTCCCAGAGGATAGATGTCACCGCTGAATGCCGGGCTGGTGTGTGGGTGTACCTTCTTCTAGTAGAGAAATGTATGGGAAGTTTAAAAAAAATAAAAATATATGAATATAATGTTTTCTTCACTCTCTTCTTAATGCTTTCTGTTTTTGAACAGATTAAAACTCGTAATCCCTGCGAACTTTGTTGGGAATAGGACTGTTTGTACATTTTGGTAAATACATTTTAAACTGTGTGGTTGCGACAGATGTTTAGAAATCATATTACAAATCACGCTTTTAAAATAGAGGACAGTAACAAAGAGGATTAGTGAAGGAAGTATTGACTAGTGCAGAGACAGATGAAATATGTGGACTCTAAATGAAATGCCAAATTGAGAGAAATTACATAAAACATAAAGATTAGCAGCAGTTCCTCTAAATTTTACAATATCTCTCATCCCGGCTCTGATCTATATTTTATCCCAGACATACAGTACACCAGTCTAATCCACTTTAGGTTCTCGGTGCCTGCGAGGATGAATGGACATCTGTGTAGCTGACAGTTTAGATCAGGACAAAGATTAGCTATTTCAGTTTGAAGCTGGTAACTGATTGGTGCGCTTGAATTTTGTCTCCACTTTGAAAACAAAACAACTCAAATATCATTCAGTGAACTTTGAAATTAAGTTGCAAAAACATACATTTTCTCTCAGTAAAAGTAAAGTACCAGCACTTAAATCACGATTGCTTCTCAACTGCTTATTGTTCTGGATCCGAGGGACATCAGGCTCGTTTCTTTTCTGAAGACAAATTCTTTTCATTTATTTTTCCTGTAGATAATTATCTGCACACTACCTAATGGATTTGCAAGTCTTTTTTTCCCTCCTGAAAATCAGTCAGGGTTGTAATATTTGGCAGCATCTAATTCCATCTCACCCGCATTTCCAAAATATGTGTGGGCGAGAGCCGAGGCTCGACATTCATTCATTTTCAGGAAGTATTAAAATCCAGCACTGGTGATTCTTGCTAATGAGAATATCGTAAAAATCCAAAAATGTTATTCAACCACAGAATCACCTGGACTTAAAAAGGTGAATCTCAGTTTGTACTTCCCTGGCTTAAACAATCTTGACACACCTATGCCATGCAGGTGCATCTGTGTGTCGGGGAGAAGAGCCGAAACATCTTTTCAATAGAGAAAAGCCTTCAGTGTCTTTGCTCTTCTATAAATTATGAAATACTCTCTAGTTCAAAAATAACTGAAGCTCTTGCAGCATCTACATTAACCACTTTAGGAACCGCTATTGTTTTGATTGCTCTCCGTGTTGCATCACACACACTTAAACAACGCCCGTGGCTGTCGGTAGCTCCTCACAGGACGTTGCTTCGTCCGAAACCACTCAAACGCATCACTTGAAGCCGGACAAGACGGATATTCGTGTGATCTCACGAGAATCAAGCTGCCTCGCAACGTACCCTGTGAATCATCCCAAGTAATAACCTCACCCACACCAGGTTCTTATACACAAAATATTTTAATCATTTCTGTATATTTCATTCTAAAATCTCTGGGGTTAAACCAGTATAAATCTGTTAAAGGTGCTTAAAGGAAACCTTTCCAACCCACCAGAGATATGTGTCAGACCACGGCTCAGATATGTGTTGGCCTGTTAACAGCTCAAAATGACTGTTGCAGTTATCTATTCATGCTAAAATGCTCCATGTGGCACCTTTACTTCTCTTTTGCTCTTGCAATCAGTGTGTCAGCACTGTCACAATCAGCAGTTCTAAAATCCTAGTACTTTGCTTCATCTAAATATGTGTGTAAATCCATTTTGTCTTCCGACTGTCTCCAAACAGCTTCTTGTTAACACTGGACTCATCTTCAGCTCATATCAATCTGTGCGCTGCTTGCTGTTGGCTTCTCTCTGGCTTAACACTGCGATGCGCGAACAAACACTGATGTCTGGTCCTGCTAAAAAGCTCAGGGTTGTGTTGCCGGCATGTACACCGACTGAAACAGCTGCTCGCGGAACTTTGCGGTTCCCCCTTCGCTGGGCTTCCAGCCGGGGACAATATGTCTGCTGAGCTCAGGCTGATTTGAACGGGCAGGCTTTGCCAAAACATCTACGTTTGTATTGAATTATGTATGATGATGTCAGCAGTGTGATGGAAGTTGCCTCTTTTCTGGCATTCATCCCAATTGAGTATTAATGACGGTTTGTTGCCACAGCAATCAGTGACAGCACAGCGGAAACCCCGAATTCTGACTTTACATACTACTACTACTACTAATATTATGGGTAGAGGGTTTCTAAGCAAATTGATGGACAAATAATACCGTGTCTTTTTTTGAGGAAGGTTCTTAAAGTGTCCGAAATGGATAATAAAGCTGCTATTTGCAGTGATTGCTCAGCGTCGGTTATGCGACAAGGAGCCAAATTGCATTCCAACAAAGCTACAAATTTAATGACCCCTCTGAAGAACCGTCACCTCAACGATTATGATAAATTTGTGAAGAACAAACAGGCACCAGTTAAAAGCTGCCCAGTCTATGTGAACATTTTAAAAAGCATTGTATTTTATTTATTTTATTGTAAAAAGGCATAATAATATGTTAATTCCACTACAGGACGAACTTGATTTTATCTGCAGTCGGCATTCAGACAAAATTTGTTGGATATAGCGGCATATCAGCAAAAATCAAATCTCGTACATGATAATAATGACTTGCTGATATCCAAATTGTGAGCTACCGTACTATACTACTATACAGATCCAAAAACAGACAGATCAGAACAGATTTAGGCAGCCAGGAACCATCTTACCCTCCTTTGTGTATGTCAGCAGATGGAGGCCTCTTGCTGGCGGTCCCGTCCTGGTGGACCTTCTTATCTAATGACAGCGACAGTGGAGCATCTCGTACAGGCAGCCCCAGCACCAGCGTCTCCTTGGTGACGGAGACTGCGTCGTCACCGGTTCGACCCATGTGCTTCTTGGCGTAGTCAAAGCCCTGGACAGGCTGGCAGGGGAAAAGGATAACACACACCGGGAGTCAGAATAAAACACTTGAGTTGTACAAGGTCCCAGCTACTGCAGCTTGTAGATCAATCCATGCAGGAACTGAATTGTGGAGCATACTTTTTAAAACTTTGTATTTCTTGTGTTTCTAAAATGTGCTGTTGTTTTCAGTTTGCCTGTTGGACTGATGGACCAAAAGCCACTCGATGCATAAAAACAAGCAGCGGGTTTTCAGGAAATGAAGCACATGCAAAGACAGCAAAAGGCAACACAAGATACAGTTCCACAGTGCAGTTTTTCATCTTTACTACACAGCACAGCCTGATAAATGCTATGAAACTACTGGACGTACTGTCAATGTAATGTACAAGCCACAATAATGGGTGGTAAAGCAGCCACAACATATCTAGCACACACCACAATGCATGTATAGCAAACGATAGCTGATGTTGGTAAGAGAGTATCAAAATGGTATGGAGTCGCAAGATAAATTCAACAGTCAGAGCACACAATAGCTGACAGATACACATAGTGTGAATGTCATTTCCTCAAGACATTTTTGAGAAAATGCTTTGTGAAAACAAGAGGGCACCATCAAAAATAAAAATAAATTGAATAAAATGAATTTCTGCCTTTGGGACATGCGATTTGCTGCAGCAGAGCAGAAACATCCAATTCCCATTCAGTTTCACCAAATACATGGTGCCAAATTGGCGTCATCTCATTTTACAACATAAAATGCAGCCTTAGAAAGACGAAACAGTAATGCATCAGTGATGCAGTTGTGGTTATAGCATGATGTAAAGCTGTCCTTCAAAATAAAAATAAACCTGCTGTGTGGAGTAAAATGAACTACTTTTTAACACAGCAACAAACGAAAAAAAAGCACCAAATGGATTAAGTCTGTTGTAACTGCGATCTGATCAACAGTAAAGAGCTGGACAGCTGAACGGATGACAGAGCTGCTTACAGCTAACATGACTGAGTCTCCTGAATAATAAAGTAAAAACCTCCAAGATAAGCGGTGCCTCAATTTCAGATAAAGGTAATTGAATGAACCTCCCTCCACGGAAACTAGTTTTTATCACTCTCCGAACACCACGGCTGGCATAATGAAAAAGTTGGATAAAAAATAAATAATAAAGCTTAACAGCACCTTTGAAGTCAGGGGTTTTGGCATAGAGAGACAAAGAGAGAGAGAGGCAGCCGATTATGTGTTTTGCTAAAGCCTCCAAGGCCTGGACACATTCTTTGTATTGCTTAATGCCTTTCGCATTACGGAATAGAGTACGAGAGGAGGGGGGGGGGGATAAAGGCCCCATTTAAGTTACACAACTAATCAGCCGAAACCCAGATTTTTTTTTTGCCTTCTATTTTTAGCGGCCCCGAAAATGGGACGCCTAATGCATTTGATGATGCGTGCTAAATTCTGAGTGCATGTGAGGTTAGGCAGCGTTGGCACCCGGCTGACGGCGCTGTTAATAATTCATCAGTCATACACACACCGCTGTGCCATCAGCTAGCTCAAACACGCGAGGCTGCAGGATGAGTGTCAGGAAATTGATACATGCTAGTATGGAACGCACACACACATTGACATTAGAGAGATTAGAGGGAGAGAGAGAGCGCACCATGGCATTATATATGGATCGGGTGTGGTAGTGCATGCACCTTTTACCTGCTGAAGTGATGTATGTTGACAGTTTTGACTCTATCGTGTGAAGATGCATGGAGAGGGCAAACATTCATTTGCCTACGGCCTCGTGCTGTTCATAGGTTGAGGGGGAGATTAGCTGCTTGCGTGTTTGTGACGAGCGAACAAAGGGCAGCAGGCTCGGCAGGAGGCGGGTGGTGCATTAAATGTGCCGCTCCCTCCACCCAATATGCATTATGTGGATGGATTTATGAGGAGCAAACATTAGACGTAGCGTCGGGGGCGTTGAACTAAGAGCGACGACCTGATGCACACTGCAGGCTGGTGGGTAATGGACGTCATGAAAGGGGACAGTATGGATTCTCAGAAATGACAGGGCCGACGGGTGTAACCTTGAAGAGTGCGCCTGACATTTCGCGAAACGTATGTTACCGCATTGGCTCAAGGTCTTTTCTCTTTCTGTCTGTTCTTTTCTCTTGTCTCACTCTTTCCTATTTGTCTCAGCCTCTTCTTCCTGTCTAAACCTCCTTTCCCTGTCTCCACCACCATCCCTCCCTCTAGTTCCACCGTCCACTGACAACGTGTTAACTTAACAAATGGCCATCTTTCATCTTGTGTGACTGAGATTTGATTTAATGACTTTTTAATGAAGACTTTGGCCTGCCTCTGATCAGTCTGTCAAGGATGGATGGCGGTTTTCTTCCACATCCGTTCAGACCAGCGACGGAGAAAAACAGAGCGAGAGAGAAGAGTGCAACCATGTCTTTTACTGAAAGATGTCATGTGAAGTGACCGTGTGCACGACCCGGCTGCACCACCAAATTATCCACACTTATTTTCCCCGCCCGCTCTGTCAAACAGAAGCTTCTCCTCTTGCCTAATTTTAACTCAGAGCAACAGCCAACAGCAGCTTGATGAGGTACAGCAGATGGACAAGATATGCTCTACTCCCCCCCGCAGCCATATTGATTTAGATTCAGCTCTAGCAGGGCGAATAGTCGCACACAGAGCTGCGTGCCAAAAGAAAAAAGAGTGGGTACATTAAAGAAGTGACAAAAGAAAAGACAGAGCAGGGTGGACTGGGTGGGGGCATGATGCAGCAAACTGCAAAAATACATCGAGGCCTTCACATGGCAGCCACTGCATTGTACTTCCATTGAACAGCTTACAAATAGAAAATGGATTGTCTCTACTTTCGCTGATTCCGCCCTCTATTGTACTCCACACGGAAGCCGGATATCTGAGGCTCTCACGCATAAACAAGGAGCCACAGAGGCAGCAAAAGCCATTTTGAAGAATGTTCCGACTGAGCAGCGGATGTGCAGAGTGATGAGGTTAGCCACACTCACTGCAGAATCACTCTGTAATGCTTAAACACACATGCAGACCTAATATAAGCCATAGTATCGATCAGCAGCAGCTTTAGCTTGTCCTGCATGGTGACGGATAGTGAGAGTGGGCTGGGAGCAGATCACACGCATGAATCAAGACACACAAATACACACAGTAGATCAATTTAATGGAGTCTACTATTTTTTGCTTAGGGTTCTGGTAAGTATTCATGTAATATTGACTGCAGTTACCTCAGGCTTCAATGCATTGTGATCAGATCTCAGTCAAGTGTAAATGTCCCTGACTATGAACTTACATAATAAAATCTGATTGGTCAATTGATTGTATCATGGTATCATGCTGTTTTTTTTGGGGGGGGGGGGGGGGGTGTTTGCTCAATGATCCCTTTCTGTTCAAGCTTCATAGTAAAAGTAAAAACGACACAATGATAAAATAAATGGAGAAAAGTCTTGATGAATTGAAGTAAATGGATGCCGCTTTACAAACAGCAAACTACATGAAAACATCCGTTTACTCACAGAGCATAATAATATTAGCACTCACTTCCCAAGCATTATGCACCCCCACCAAAACCTTGTCCACCGCGGAGGCATGCGAGAAACACAATGTTTTCTTTACAAATTCAAGATAACACGACGAGTAACCGATCTACAAATGATCATTTTTGGCTTTAAAGAGCAATCCAACGCCTTTAAAAGTTGCAAGTCTGTTTCACCTCCCACTTCGGACCACACCCAACCACAACCATGGGTGTGGCCAAAAGTTAGGGTTTGTTTTGCACCAATTTTATGATTTCCTGGGAGTATGTTGAGCAAGAAAATGCGGTCAAAATCCACAAAACAAAGCGCTGAAGCCAAAGGAAGTAAATCACGTGGGTATCTTCCAACATTACAGTCTTTAATGTATGAAATTCCCTTGTTTTACTAATCCCTCCCCTGGAGCTCAGCTCAAAACTAACGAGCGACACAGAAAGAGGGTGTGCTTTATGGGTGCTGAGGGGTCTAAGACGCTGACCACGTTATCGCAACGTCCCCAGTTTGGGTGGACTATCACCTCAATTCCTGCCACATATCAGAGTCTTTATCGTCTACAAAAGCCCAAAACGCTGCCAGTATGGACAGCGGGACCCATTACAGCGACCAGTAAGTCTTTCAAAGCACACGTTTGGTCTTATTTTAAAACAAGAAAATGTTTTATCCTGTGCTTTAATCAGGACACTAGAAGTGTTTAACTCCAGTTTGCCACATAAGCTCTTCCCAAATGAAATCCCCGTGTGAAATATTTATCTCACTTGCTCATACATGCCACTGCTTGGGATTGGAGGGGGTAAATACCGCGGTGGATAAGAACAGTGATTGCAGCCTCACGGCACCACTTAACAAATCTAATATTTCGGGACTCTTTAAGATTTGACGCGCTCTCTCGCAAAACATGGCATAATGTTAAATGTTTACAAAGGGTCGTGAAGGCAAACAAGATCTTAGAGCTGGGAAATCTAAATGTTGATATAATAACGTAGTATAAGGAGATACAGTAAAGTGGGGACAACATGTATTTGGGGTCTTTTACACCCTACTGTGCTTTTGAAACCCGTTCTGTTACAAAAAATGTCCTGCCTTCCCATCCAACACTCCATCCGATAATTCACCACACTTTGCCTCTCGAGGGATAAAGACGGGAGAGGCTGGACCGAAATAACCTGCAGATCCACCACAGCAACAGTAGCCATGGCTCTTTGTAATTCAAAGAGTTTTAGCTATTTATTTTTTCATCCCTTCTCTGTGGCCATTGCTCTGGGTGAGGTACATAATTCAGTGGAGAACCTCATACATCAAAAAAAGAATTGGGTTGGGGGTCTGTGTTGGTTTCCTGCTGAGCCAATGTGGGATGAGAGAGGCTTCATCTGAGAGGATAAAACGGCTGGCTTGAAAGGGAAAGGAGCTGGCAGATAGGCAGTCTAGGCCGATGACACAAGCTTGAGTCACTTTTTATGGATGCTACACAAATAAAAATAGATTGGTCTGGTTCACAGGTTTTAATCCTTCCTTTCCGCTATTCATGTTTACGAGCCCCCGGTTAAAAAATGGCTTCTTCTGGACGGCAGATTCAGCTCATTTGCCTGTTTTTACAAGCTTGTCCCTCCTTGTTAATTCAGCCAATCGACTCGAACCAAAACAATTTAAATCTTGAGGGTACGTGCTTGTGAATTTTACACCCCTATTATTTTAGTTGGTTTTTTTTACACCTTTCCTCACTGGCCCCTCCTCTCTCCTCCTCTTGATCTCCTACAGCCAGTGAGGATGGAGGAATAAGTCATGTCCAAAGCACAGTAGCCACATGCACAATTTTACCCAGCAACAACAACAGGCAGCACATACAGAAATAAGCAGCCCACAAGGCACTAGTCGATCAACACAGTCGGTCAAAATCAGCAAACAACACAGCAACCCATTCATTCAATAATGCATTCAATGGTTAGTTCAGTAATCCACCCAACCAGGGTCTAGTGAATACCTGGTGGTGGTAACTGCCCTCCCTTCGATATGAGGTCTAAACAGGGAGAGAGTTGGAAGGTCAAGGTCATGCAAGGGTTAAGATAATTACAGCATAGAATAGAGTACAATGAGAGATGATAAGATAGGATAAGATAAGATGCATTCAGTTTTTATAGCTTGGCCATCACTCCTATCTGTGTTAATAACATTGTTATAATCAAATAAACTGCTGGTATCTGGGAAGATTTTTTGACATTGCGAAAAAGAAAAGCAGTGCGACTGAGCGAGAAACATGAGCAGTCAGACAATCAGGTTTTAAAGGATAAGGCAAATGTTTTTTTGGTTTTTCATCATTGTAAACAAATCCTAAGGTTTGTTGCTCAATTTTCTTTTTGACCTCCCTACTCTGTTTCTGGCAATCAGACCTATTCAGAACTCCTTGGTTGGAAGAGTTGCGATGGACCACCACGACCTGCATGACAAGGGTCACATGACCAACGGAAACGGCCATCTCTTCAGCAGGCTACGTTCGTTAGCCTCACTAGCTTATCTACTAGCAAGCCATTAGTGGTCGGCCGTCAGTAAACATGCTAACAGTTGAATCTCTCCCCACAGTTTACAGACCGACTTCCTAGTTCAACTTACCGCATCATACAGACTGTAATTGTTCGAGCACATAGTTAACAACTAACAACATTTTGATTTTTGGTTTTACCTCAAAATAAAATAGTTTTGATAATCTGGCTAAGCAGTTGTTGCATGTTCTGTTTATTCGTTCACACAGAACAGCACTGCATTATGGGTACACTTTCATTTCAGGCTACAAAGGCGTAATTGCTTGCTCCGTCAGGAGCATCAGAAACACTGTACAGATATTTATAGAGATACAAGTTTTTTTCTATTAGTGCTCAGAAGATTAGGAAACATTTTATTGATAGTCAGAGCTTTTAAGTCTTCTTTGATCTGGAGACAGAAATATTATGCGTGTTGGTTTAATCATAACATTGAGAAGATTCCTTTGCTGGGTATTGAAAGTTTGACCGACCAGAGCTCGGTCAATAGACGGTTTAGTCTTGCCGGAGCGGCAGTCTAATCATGATATCAAATGTCAAACACACTTCAGGATTAAGGAATTCTGATCACAACCGAGTCACGTCAAGAGCCTCTTCAGAACAAAATGAGGTTGGCAATCTTATCGCTTGTTTAACACTTCACTGACTGGAGTGACATAAGCAGCTGTTGTTCTGGCGCCAATGCGCCGCACCATGACCCGATCCGATCCAACCAGCTGGTGCCAATCTATTCCACACTCGCTCATTTGAAATGATTGATTCTTATTCAAACTCAAATGTGTTGATGTCGAGCGAACGCTGCTGTCGCAAAAGGGCCAACATCACCCTAAGGTTCACTTCCACTACACTGAACCCTGTCCATTTTTTTCCCTCGGCCGATTAGCCTTCAAAGCATGCATGATTAGCAATGACCACGGGCTATTGGGCAGCAAAAGAACAAATGAGCCGGGCCCGCACAGATTAGATTATATTTTTCTGACCCGGAGAAACAACTTAACACAATCACTTTGCAGTGTGGCGTGTCACTCAATCAGAAGTTATGTAATCTTCATTGAAATATCACTACGGAATTGGCTTCTGGGAAAAGTTAAGGTGAAGCAGTGCTGTCTGAACATTTTGGGGTGAGATTTAGGGAGGACACAACTGATTATTATTAATAATAGAAGACAATAGAAAGAAGAACAAGAAGATGGAAAAGGGATACATAAGAGCAGGAGAAAGGGATTCAGTTGGACGACTGAATTTGACGGTCTTACCTTGGAGCGCGTTTTGAAGTTCCTGAAGGCGCCAGTTTTGAAGATGACCCTGTTCCTCTTGCACAGAATGAAGGACACCATGACGATCACCACCATCAACAGGAAGAGAGGCGTCAGTACGGCCATGATCCACAGGTTGGTGGGCGGCGTCTTTACCACAGCTACAAACACACAAATATCATTCCTCAGTATTTGATTGTGCATCATTCCTGAGCGGTGATTCCGCTAAATGACCCTCCAGTGATTACAAAGCACACACTTTGCAACGAAAAGACAAGCAGAAATAAACACTGTTCAGTACAATCAAGGGCGTCATTTCCTCTGGGGATGAGGGGGGGAAATATGTCCTCTTCGTTTTTATAAAATCCTATTTTTGTTCCTCTTGCTTTTATAGTTCAAGTTAGATTTACAGTTCCCACTTCTACAGAGGATACAGAGGACAAAGGAGCTGATGGGCTGAAAAAATACTGCAAACTCATTTTTGTGTGTTATTGATAGTTGCTAAGCTCCGAGAAAAATGGTAAGCGAAAGAAGCGGCAACAATAAATAACAATAGCACTTGGAAGTCTATTTCCACATCAATGGCAGTGAAGATGCACCTGCATTACTTGTCCATTAGGCACAAGGTCCATCACAAATAGAACAATTACATTTGTATAATTCAATTTCATAATATTGTGTTATTTTCCTGATGGATATAAATATGTAAAATGGCATAAAAAGCAATCATCATCTCCATACTTTAGTTTGTTTGTGTGCTGGGAGGTGGTTTTTTTTTTTACTCATGGGAAGAACAAGGCCAACAGTTTCCCCTGTTCCCTTATGCTAAGCTAGGCTAACCATCTTCTGGCTGTAGCTTCATATTTAGCGCACAGACATGAGAGTGGTATCAATCTTCTCATCTAACTCTCAGCAAGAAAGCAAATTAGCTTATTTTCCCAAAATCTCAAAATTTGTATTTAACTGGCACCAAAATTGTATAATATAGACAGAAATGTTATAAAAGAAAACAAATTTGTAGACTTGAAATCTACATCCAGAAATAAGCTTTAAATTACAACATAAAAAACGTGCTTGTTTTTCGCTTGAATATCTTTTTTAAATCATCTTTCTTTGAGCTCCCCTTGCCAAACACAACTTGCCAAAGAAATGTGTTTTCATTTGAAGGACGAATGCAGTTTGTTTCCACTGAGCCGGTTAAGGCATACTAAATGAATTTTACAAGAACATTGTGTTCGGTTCCCGGCCTGAGCACTGTTAGGAGGGGCTGGAAAGGCTTGTTGTTGGTACCTCTCCAGTTTCTTAATTTTAGATGCTGCGGAAATCTGAGGGAGAAACGGTGAGAGGGAACGCTTTGTCCTCATCAGCAGCTAAGTCTACACAACTGCAATTTTCTGAATGCGAGTTTGAATTTGTATCGATATTCTGAAGCTTGATTGGGTGCACACTGTGTAGGGTATTGTGGAAATGTATGGAAAAACAAAAACCTACGCAATGTCACGGTAAGCCCGGCTTGAATTCAACAGATAAATCCTTAAGATGTCCGGCAATGTGGTGTCTCTACAATGGCTGCTGAATGAGAAGTGTGTTCTGTGAGTTGCATCTAAAATATGTATGTAGCCATTTCCATAAAGGCTACAAGCAAATGAAAATCTGTGTAAATCTGTGTGTAAATATGCAAAAGGAAAACAGAGAAGAGTCCTATTTTTAATCCTATTATTTCTATAGCTGGAATAAATCAGCAAGTACATGAACAAATAGGAATAGAACATATGTGCATATTTTGATATTGAATTTCAATGTCAATAAACCATGCATTTATTTTAAAAACATGATGAATAATTGATACAAATCAGACTTGGATTTAAAGGAATATTACAACATTTTGGGAAATATGCTTGTATGCTTTTTTTAACAGAATGAGAAGATTGACACCTCTCACATATCTGTACGGAATTATGGAAATGCAGCCTCCAGCAGGTCAGTTTAGCTTCGCATAAAGACTAGAACCAGGGGGAACAGCTCCGTCTGAGGCTAAAAAACAATCCTCCAAATTAACAGGTGACTTGTTTGTTGAATCTGCACACAAACCCAAATTTAAAAACAACCGTTTGCCAGTTTACAGGGGGTTGCTCCGAAGAACTTCTCAACCGAGACTGCACCTCTCAGAGAAAATATCCACCGCTAATAGAAATGTTATCCATTTACTTAAAGGTTCAGTGTGCGGGATTTAGTGCGATTTATTGGCAGAAAGGAAATATCATATCCATAACTATGTTTTCATTAGTGTATAGAGAGGCAAAGTCCCTTTACTCATCCCCCATGAGACTTTATTTCGGAAAAAATATGTACAGTAGTCAACTGCGAGAATGAAGCTTTTTTTCAATTCCAAAGATTTTTCAATGATTTTCCAATGATTTTTCAAAGATTTTTCAATGATTTTTCAATCGATTGTTGAAGTTTGATTGACGAACTACTTGCACATTGTACGTGACCAACATTGGCCATTACCTTGGCTTGCTAGCTAGCTAGTTAGCTTAGCTATGTTCCACGCACAAATGTACAGCAAGATAAACAAGCTTACGTTCGGCCTGCACTTGCACGAAGTATCCCAGTGTCAGAGCCATGGTCTGGGAGTCCAGACTGCTGAGGGTCTTGGCAGCGGTGGATCCAGTCACGGGTGCCCCGTTCAGCTGGGTGTAGTAGGTCATCTCTGCTGGGTTCTTGGGACCAGGCAGCCGACGCATGCTCACCATCTGGAAGAGGACAAACTAAGTGTCCAACATCTCCAGCTGATAATGGCATTTTGTAAACAAAGTCCGTCTTAGGCATAGTCTATCTTGTTGCACGTGCAACATTTCATCTATAGCCAGACTGATGGCATACACAATCCTTTATCTCATCAACACCAACAGACAAAAAAATCACTTCCATATCTACAGTGGCCCAATCAAAATTCTGAATCGGCTTGGCTGCTTTGATCATGACGAACCGTTTGCTGCGAGATAACTGCACTGGGGAAGACACTCGAGAATAACTGAGTCACTTGAAGTCTCAATTTCCTTTCATCATACACCAAACGTTTTTTTTTTAATTTTGACGAACACGGTTTAATCAAGTCTGGTAATTTGATTTTGTCATAAAAAGAAAGGATGTGTGATATTAAATGTCTGGATGATTCCCTCCCCCCTGTCCTTCATTTCTGCAGCAATAAAACTGGTCATCTGTGACTTCCCATGAAGGCTCGAGGGTGTGTGAGGCATAAAGCCCAGGAATCGTATAACAATAATAACATACACACAAACGTTTATACTTCTGTGCTTATAAGTGCCTTATTTCAATCCCTAATCTTCACCCCTCAGTATTAACTCAATCTAATGCCAACATTGGCTTATTTTTAAGAAACCGTACTCTCTTAGAACAGTAGAAACATATCACATTATTATTATTTTCCATGGTGTTCATTGACTGCCAGTGGTTTTATTTAATAAACGATGAAAATCTACATGCAGAAGACTTAAGATATGTTTAGCATGTATTAAAAAAAACTGTTCTCTATTTATTTGTTATGTTTGAGATTGTGCGGCAAAGCAGGGACAGTTTTCAAAGACACTGACATGTTATGGGCAACCTTTTTCCATGCAAGTAATTATCAAATTTACTATACGGCTACAAGTAATAATTATGTCCTTTATGGATTCATCTGCGGAATATTTTCTTGATAAATTGATAAATTGTTAGGTCTTTAGATGTTAGAAAAAGGTGAAACATGTAGATGACAACTCATGAAGTCCAACTTGATGACAATAAATTGATTGTTTTGTTCGACCAACAGTCCAAAACTCACCGATATTCAGTTTACTAAAACATAAGATGACGAAACTGGAATTAAAACCGTTGAAGTTAAGAAAAATTCAAAATTACTTATCTGTTGATCAATTATTCGTTCCGGCTCTAATTATCATTCTATGTTATGTTTCGGACAACTCTTTAGCATGCAATCACCAATATAACTAGAAGGGCACTTGGAAAGTCCAGACCTCCACCAAGGCTGCCTCTATTCTTGAAAAATAATGCATGTTCATCTGACAAAGACAAACAAACCTCCTTGGTGCAGAAAATAATCAAAATTTCAATTCAAAACTTTCCCTGCTCACGAAGCGGTGCTGTCCAGGGTGCTGAATGTGGAGCTGTCAAGCCAATAGTCGTGTTGAATCCGACTAATGATTATCCTCACTATACACATGCATAACCAAGTGCCCCGCCAGCAGTGGGGCTCTATTGATGGCACTGACTGTATGTGAACCATTTTTGTTGAAGACTGAAACATCTTGATACATATTGGATGGATTGCCATGACATTTCATGTAGACATTTAGGGTCCTCAGTGGAAGAATCCTACTGACCTGGTGTTCCTATGACTTACAATCTAGCACCAGCAGGTCATAGTTCTTACAGTCATCCAATGACATTTCCATATCTACTAGATCAGGCATCACCAATTGACGGATCGCGGTTCGGACCCCTAGGGAGTGGCGGTTCTATCCGAACCTGTAGCCAATTTCTGATAAATGAATGAGACAGAGCATTGTTGTATTTTCGACAGTCCAGGCTATGGATTCTAGGCTCACCAATGAGCACCTGCACATGTGCATGACAATGACACTTTTCTTTGTTCAAGCCATGATTTAAACTACTGGCCCATTTCTATCTCTAAAAAATGAAGAAAGAAATGTCAATATATATATTTAAAAAAAAGAGAAATGGCTGCTCAAACCTCTGTTTGCACTTTTTCTAAAAGAGGAACTTTTAATTTTTTTTATTCAGATTGTATTCTTATTTTCTTTTACTTGAAATGTAGGCCTTAAGTTCATTGTATTCATTTTATTCATGGTAATTATGTATCTATTTATTTCCCATACAAGCGCCATACAAGTTTGAGTTAAACAATGTTGAAATGATATGGGAATGTTTGTTGTTGACCTTATTTGATAAACGTATGGGAAGGCTATTGGTATGCAATGTAGAAATTATGAGGTTCGTACCTCTGCTGGTAGGACATTTTCGTAACATAGCCTCTTTAAATTCTGATTGAATACCTCTGTACTTGGTTCACAGAACACAAATCCTCATGATTTTGGTAATCTCCTGACTTTTCATCAACCATCATCATCAAGTCAAAAATGAGTTTGAATTAGCTTATAACCAACTGCAAAGCTAACGACATGCCCATGAATATCAGTGGTGCTTTAACTATACTTTCATGCGAGTAAGCATGCCAACACGCTAAACTTGCCACGCTAAACATTACACCTGCTACATCGGCAAATTGACATAACCATTCATCATTTAGCACAAAGCACAGAGACCCTGAGTCCTAATCATAAAACTTGCAGAGGTTAAAATAAATAAAAATAATTTAGTTGACAAAGATGTGGTCACTTGGAAAGGCGCAAACTAGTTATTTTAAAGCAGAGAAATGTACAAACGCAATCCCGTCTCCGTCACTAAGGCACACAATGACGCACAAGAATCTCACTCCCATTTACCTGCACAGTGTAGCTCCCCACGGTGGTGGCCCGCCGAGGTCGTGCCGTCCGAGGGCCCTGCCTGCCGGCTACCAGGAAGAGCTCAGCCAGCCGCTGCTCCATCAGACTGGCAAAGCTCTGGTAGTTGGCCTCCAGTGAGGAGCTCTCCACATCTTGGATCACTGTGAGGAGAGATGAGAGAGGGAGACGGAGTGAAGGGACAGAGGATGGGAAAGGGAGCAGAGAAAGAGAGAGGGACAGAGAAAATAAGTAAAAGGAGGAGACGAGGAGAGTGTGGAGATAATATCAAAGGGAGGCATTGATATGAAGGAGAACAAGGGAGGATAGGGCGGAGAGATAAACAAAAGACAGGAGATGAGTCGAATATTAGAGAGGACTAGATGATTTTCCCTTCCATTTAAAAGCTGCCCAGAAACTTCTATTACAGCTGCAGTGACACACACACACACACACACACACACACACACACACACACACACACAGGTGCTCGCATCAATCTTGCTCCTTTGTGCATCTCTTACTAGGGGCTATAAGTGAGACAGAGCACTGGACGGACTTCACACACACACACACACACACACACACACACACACACACACACACTTCAGCATCATTCACACCCGGCCGTGATGTGATGTGAAGTGATCTCTCCCTCTGCCCCAGTCAAGAAGCCGTGAATTATACATCAATAGGTTTTCCCAGGAACAGAACAGCTATAGACTCTCTGGGCACAGAGAGCGCGAGAGAGGGAGTGAGCAGAGAGAAGTGGCGGGGGGTGGGTTTGTTAGGACAGAGGAGGAAAATGAGAGAGCCAACACTATTCTGCTGAATTGCACAACAACGGGCGCCAGGGTTAACTGCTGTTTTGTCCGATCAATGCGGCTCTTGATTACCGCTGATCACCCAAGTAGCACTTTTGTGTGTGTGCATGTGTGTGTGCGAGAGCTATTTACCTGTTATCACCCAATAGTTCTTAGTCACCATCGATGTGTTAAGATTATGGTATTCAAGGGCTGGAGAGGGAGAGAGAGAGAGAGAGAGAGAGAGAGAGAGAGAGAGAGAGAGATGGAGAAAGTTAAGTGTTTTTTGCAGATTTTAGAAAACATAATATTGTACACAATTATTTAAAATAAAAGCATTTAAAGTTATTACGAGCAACTTTCAGTTGTGTTGACTTTGGCGGTCCCTGTGGACGAAAGCGATAGTGCTTCTTTAGAAAACCCTTTCATTTGACTGCAGCAGGGTGTGACAGTCTGCCCCAATCAGTCCCGGTCCTTGGTTCTCGCGTGGCTCCCTTTCTTCGAGCGGGGCCCAGCAAAGCATATGTTTCTAGTGAATCTGCATGTTTTCGTCTGATACCGTACGGAATCCGACGACAAGCATTAAGAATAACTGGATGGAAATAGTCAATCTTCTCGCTGAGGGTCACGTTTACTTATGAAGGTCATAAAGAGGCATCAGTATGTTTCATAACCAGTTAAAAGTTCTTCCCAGTAGCTTCAATCAAAGTCATTTAATCTTGTTTTAATCAAAATACGAAGGCACAAACATTCTTTAAAATGTCAGATTATGTCAGGGTAATGTCACGGCTGGATGAATGTTAGCCACTCTGAATTACCTTTACATATCCACATAATTAGCAAACACTTGAAATTAACATGTCTGCCAAGTTATGTCTGGGTACTCACATTTGAAAATAACATTAACCAAAATACGTTTCCCTCAAATTACTTCAGACTACACATGGCAGTCATTACATGCCTGGAGTTAAAGTGATACCGTATGACAGGTTTGTGTGTATTAGGGCTGCCCCCTAAATGTCGGAACAATGCAGGATAACGGAACGACAGGCTGTAGACTTTAATAAAGAGATTATCATCTTAAAAAGACACAACTACAGAACGAACTGTGATGGACACAGAGAGGGGTGATGGAAACGGAGGACAGCTCGACTCATATCTTCTCGTCCCAATGCTCTCGCTCTCAGCTGGCTAAACCTGTTTACCAGAGCCTGGTTACCACCTCCTCTGCTGCCGTACGGCAGGACCGGCTTCGGCTGACGGCCTGTAGGCCTGTCGGCAGCCAGGCAGGGGTGACACTCCATAGTGTGGTAGGTAGGATTTATATTATATATATTATATTACCAGGACACACACATTTAACTTTGACTGTGTGGTTTTGTGTGTATTTATATCACAGATGACAAACAAAGGCACTAAAGAGTTTGATAGCTAAAACACAAGACTCATATAGGCTGTGAACGAGGTTCAGAGTGGACTGGGACTCGGCAGTGAAAAATATGTTTAATCATAGGTAAGCTTTTCTTTAAGGAAAAACAGCACTAATACTATTGAGTTTCTATATGAATGATATTTAAATATTTAAATGCAGTTTTAAAAATAATTTCTTCAGGTAGTAGTTCCTGTTTTGTTGAGACATTCAGGATGTGACAGATAGACTACAAAAATATATTAGTCTTTACTTTATTATCATTTGCAAAGAGCAAGAGCTGTCATCTTTTATTTGACAGCATCCACATGGAAATTTCGAAAGGAAACCATAATAATGTGCTAAATATACTTTTAATTTGGGTATTTGAATATATCTGAGTCAAGCTAAGACATGATTTGATATTTGTTTATTTATAAATATGTATTATTTATCATGATTTGTTCATTAAAAGTTTTTTTGGGGATCCATCGAAGCCGTGTAAATGCGACAGCAGTTTGTGTGTGTGCCGCAGTGACAGATCTGCAGGGGGGGGGCGTTTAGCATTGGCCCTTTGGCATGGATGATCAAATACGATGAAACACTTCTTGTCAGGTTGCATTGTGACCCCTACTTTCTTACCTCTCACTTCCCCTATCCATCTCCGCCGGCTATCACACTTTCTCTCCGCCTGCGTGCCCCTGCCTCACTCTCTACCTGTTTACCTGTCAGCCTATTCCTTTCCCTAAAAAACGCCTGTTTCCTTTACGTCCGGCCGGCTGTCTCCTTCCGCCTTTATCCACCCATCATCCCCTCCTCATCCGTCGGCCTCTCTACTCATCCTTCAACCTCTCTCTCTCTCTCTCTCCTTATTGCCCATCTGCCTGGTTCACCATCTGTCCCCCGCCTAACTCCTTCGAGCTGGCTGTCTGCCCAGAGTTGTGTTTCGGCCCGAGTCAATGGCGGCGCAGCAGTGGCATAGCTGCTGGAGTGCTTCTGCTCAAGCCTTCCCTGATTGCCCTCCGTGCGCGAGCACATTTACATTCACCGAGCTCTCCTCCGACAACAAGCTCACATAAACACTTAAGGCAAACGGCGCTGAGGTGTTAGGGTTCAGACGCCTTCGGAGAATCAGCTCAACTTGCCAGAATCAGCTCAAAATCCAGCACATTCATTTCATTGACGCTGCAGCGGTGGGGGAAGGAATAGATCAAATCTAATAATAATCAAAAGTATGAGGCTGATGTTATTTGTCTTGCTGTCAACAAACCGATAATGAATTGTCGCTATTTCAGTAGGCCTACTTCCTGACTTCCCTAACCCGTATGTGGCACTAAGCGCCAAGCTAATTCATTGTTATGGACGATGACAATCTTAAAGTAAAAAAAGTTGTCAAACTAAAATATTTCCTTTTTTCTTTTAAAAGGCTCCAAAAATGTTAGCACCTTTTTGCAGTGTATACATTTGCTCTATTGTTGGATGGGAAGTGGGTAAGAGGACTGCACCTGTACCGTTTTATTCTCTAGTAGAGCTAAATTTGGCACAGAGTACTCTCCAGTTAAATAGTTACATGCAGTAGACATCGAGTCCTCTGCATGTAAATAGTGAAGATCACATGAGAATTGATCGTCCGTTGATGCTCTCAGTACAACTGCTCAATGCGTCTGTACCAAAACATGTCTGGACTATTCCCTGTTATGTCTTATACGATTCTGTAATCTGTTCCTCATTGTTTCACCTTTAGTACAAAATAATAATAATGAATAAATGCTTCTTAAAGAGAACAGACAGGGTTTCCGTGGTGATGCCGAGTGGGTTTGGATGTGACCGTGTGAAGTGTGATGTTTTAGCCCGTTGGGTGCTGAGAGTAGGCACAAATAGATACTAATCTAATCTCGCTGGGATAAAATTAGCTCATTCGGGGGGACGTGGACAACAGATTGCCTGCGGCACGATTCCGATAATAGGAGCCGTACAGCTGTTTGCCCTTTTAAAATCTCACAGATGGCATTGGAGACTGGAGTGGAAGACGAAATGAGCTCATGTGGTTTGTGTGTGGTCTGTAGTCGGTCACTTGTGTTTGTGACGTCTTTCGGTAATTGCCACAATGCCTGTGTGCACTGCTATGTGTCTTTCAAGCAGACCCATGCTTGAGACAGGAATTATTTTCTTTACCAATTGACCTAATTGCTCAACCCACCAACATTTTTCCAATATAAAATATTTGGGAGAATTTCCTAAAAATTGTATCCATGTGCACCGAATGTGCATTATCAAATATCTTTTATGATGTCAACCCGATTACTTAATTTCACAAACATAAACTAACTTTCTATCTAGTTCTTGGTCTCCACCAGCTCCTGAGGAAAATATCTGGTTCTGGGCAGGATGCATACAGTGGCTATATTAGGGTTTGCTAAAAAAAAACCTGCTACTGCTATAAACAAGGTTGATGATGAAAAAATGATTAGAGCTGCTTTAAACAAGCGCTAGCATGGTCCTAAACCTAACAACACAGATGTGAATCCCAGTCTTCAATGTCAAAGTCCAGTTCTTTGCACCCCAACCACCTGCCATGCACCGTCAACTTATATGCAGCAAATTAATTACAGTGAAGTTACTATTTTAAGGGAACTATTTTTCCTCCTACATATGTGTGGGAAAAACAAATTAGTAGAATATTCATGTATTTTGTAGGAGAGAGGTTTGAAATCTGAGCTCATTCTATTCCGCCTGGAGGCCATAATATATAATCCTTCTTTACTTTACACAATATAGAGTAATCTTGAATTCCCCCCAGGTCAAACATACGCTAAGTCATGAATCATGCATTGCTCTGCGGTGGACTCAATGGTTCTCAGTAGCTCTGAGCAAGCTCTATGGTTAGAAAACAAACTGCAGCAGTGGCCTTATGACAGGGCAGACGTGCCCAGTCGGGTTCAGGTCCCCTTTTCAGCTAAAAAATATCTTTGTGTCAATATTGTAATCCTTCATAGCTGGCGGTCCTCCATCCTACGTACCTCCAATCTCTGTCTGGGGAGCCTTTTCAAGAATAAAATAAAGCTCTGAATGTTTTAAGCTCTGTACAGGGATGTGGGCACGTTTTTTTTTTGTGTTTTTCTTAAGTCAACCTTCACAGCTTGAGGGGAACGCTGAAGCTAGTTATGAACAAATACGATCCCGTTAACACTTCCTTGACACATTTAGTGGTTAAAAAGATGTACATCAGCACGCCCAAGTCTGGTAGCGGGGCCTTTACCTTATAGAATAAAAGTATAATGCAAAAGGTGAAAGAAAGCAGTTGTAAAGTTAGAGGATAACCAAAATGTTTATGTCTAAATAGTCACCTTTCAACAATAAATGAACACTAGCTTCAATGGAGGGAGCATCTTTGCGGCGTGTGAGACAACATGATGTCACAGCCGTGGAATGCCAACACCAATTTTTGTGAAGTGACGTTTTGTTGTTTTTGATAGAATCCGGCGCGTTGCATCGACTCAAAGAGACGACGTGCTACCGCAGCATTTAGCTAAACATTACAAACTGGTTATTTGTGCTACACATTGCAACTGTCAGAGCCACGTGCCTCGTCCGCAGATAAATTACTCATTTTCATTTTCTCTTACCGCCCTCTGTGAATAATTACAGCGGCATCGTAATTGCCCGGCAGTGCCTCTGAGAAGATGGCTTGGAGGTACATCAAGCAAATGAGTATCAAGTACTCTGACTGAACTTTAATTTGTTGGCCCTGCACCATTAATTGCGGGGTTAGACAATGCTGGCCAAGTCTCTCCGTGCATCCATAAGAGCAGAGCGACTCTTTGTGACTGTACAGAAACGAGCCATGAGAGAGAGGGAGGAAATGTTCACGAGCAGCGTTGCCAACTCATTTAGCTGCTGGCGGCTCAAAACATCACTCCCTTGCTAATTTGCATATTATAGTATTTGTGACCTTTCACTGTCCTGTTTGGATTTAACATAGAATTAAATACAACAAAAGAACGTTCACTGGTATTAACCATACTCAATCATACTTCATACTTTGCCATCAAGTGAATTGGAGGTCCAAGCTTTAAAGGGTCAATTCACCAAAGTTTCAAAAAGCTAATTTTATCATTACTACTTAGTGGTATCCAGCCATGCAGGCAGTTCTGTTTTTTTTTGCTCAGGTGTGGACATATCAATTTCTGAGATTTATATCTCCCACCAATATAATGGAAGTAAATGGGATGTTTTTAGTGAGTTCATAATCCTTGATCAGAATTGATCAGTGGCGCTACCCTTTAAACGATGACACTCTAGGGTTCCCTCTAGCGTCAGTTTCCGCTTGTGTCTTTTTAAAATAAACTTCCTCGTTCACAGGAAACACATTGTTTCCTTTTGTTACATGCATACTTATAGACTCTTTTCAAAATAAACTTCAGATCTAGGTTTAGTTATTTTAAGGTTCACTTACGAAACAAAACTACCTTTTGGTTTGGGTTCAAAAATGCTACGCTTGCGGCATGACTGGCGTTACTTAAGTACGCAAGTTACGTAACAAAATTTGTCAACGACGTTAATTTGGTTTCACTCGGGACTCAAACAGCGGTCTCCTGAGTGAATCCCTTTGTTTGTTTCACCCGTCCAACTTTTCCTGCCAACAGCCCAACGCAGAGTTTCCTCTCTCTTTTCTCACTCTTCGCCAGTTGGTCTGACCGTCTAATAATGACGAGGATGGGTTTACACTGGAGCTAGTTGAAAGCTCGGTGCGTCTCATACAGACGCTAAAAGGTGCGTTGATATCAGGCGCCGAGGGGCACCAACCAAGCGTCAATATTTGACGAGTTTGGAGTGAGGAGGGGTTGGAGAAGCATGTCTTTACAGAAATAAAGTCTGCATTACTCTTGACAATCCAAAATATATCTAGAAGGGACAGTAACTTTGGTAGAATATAGTTCCAAACAAATCTCAATTCACGGGGCATTTATTGGGGTGTTTCCAAAGGTGGATTTTTTGACCACGTGTTGTGCTATGGAGCAATGGTTTTATGAGTGGGCGCCCATTTTTGTTTGTATCGCGCACAAGTAGTAAGCGGGAGACATGATGCACATTACTGCTGTTTTACGCCATTTCACTGATCAACAGTTGTTGCAGAAACATACAAAGCAACTTAGAAATGCCGTAAGCTGTCAACCATGGATGTAGACATAACAGGATTTAAAATATTCAAATCTAGGAGTTGCAAATGTTTCATGAGGAAACACTGAACACGCTCGTTCACTCTCTAGCTCTCCACCTTAGGACCATAGGGTGCATCATAATTTCACTTACGCTCAGCGATGACCATGGGTGGGTAGAACAGAAAGTATCCCACCAGCTCCGCGGTCAGCTGGTTGAGGAGCCCGCTGGAGATCGTCCCGTTGAGAATGGCATCCTGGTTCCTCACCACATACACCAGCGAGACAGACGGAGAGCCCGGCTCCTGGGATACGCTCTGGATCTGAGGATAAACACATCATTTTTTGGAATGATTATTCAATTCTTTATTTATGGCAAGCACATAAACAGGGTGCACATTTATAATTAAAACATTCATACAGAAGAAGCTAAACATACCAAAAATCTAAGTTGCCCCATAAAGAATACATAACGGTGCTCCGGACACAGTACGACACCTTCAATGAACAATGTTTTTTTTCTTTCTTTCTATAATAAGACCTGCACGTTGCTCTGAAAACAATGTGACTGAGTCACCCTAGTAAAGCAGATGTCGATACGAGATACAAGGACCTCCCATCGCATTTCTCCATGAGTGTTAATATTTCAGAGGATTAATTATGAATGGAGCCTATATCAGCCTCCGCTTGCCCAGACCCACTTTATGATTGTGACGGTGTGTGCATGTATATCCTGCAGTCATGAGAGCACCTTGACGATCAGAGAGAAAGAGACCGAAAATGAGAAAGGAGCTGGGAACAAAGGGACGGAAAGTAACTGAAAGGGTTCAAAACATGAGACGGCACTGTAGAAGAAGGACTTGTGATTGTAGCTCTGGAAATAACAATGCATATGCAGCTGCAGTCACTCCGTCCTTTAAGTGTATATTGCTATCAATAATTTTTGACTAGTGTGACCTTTCATTGCCTGATAACAGAGAGATGATCGGGGTTTTATTTATTTGCAGTAAGTAGCTGTATTGTTGTAAGCGTTCAGAATTTTGACACACCCGTGAACATGACACACATGGTTGTCTGCATTCCGCACTAAAAAACAGCCTCCATGAACCCGACGTCGTACCTCCACGGTGAGCCTGTTGTAGGTCTCCAGCACTTTGTCCTGAGCCTCGTCGAAGGCGTTTTCCAGCCGCTGCTCCAACATCTGGACGAAACTGCAGGAGTAGATGTTGTCTGTTGGGCCGACGAACCTCAACACTGCGGGGGGGGGGGGGGGAATTTATGTTTAATTGATATTGAAATGGAATTTAGTTTCAGTCTGGGAATAATAACAGCACACAAACAATTAGGGAATGAAAGAAAACAAATGACTCCCTACAAATTAGTAATTTAATTGACATGATGCCGTTTTAAAAATGTCAAATCTCAACATATTAGAGCCATTAATTTAATAAAAAGTTTGTTTGTTGTTTCCAATTACACCACTACAATATAAATTGTATTTGTTTTATACCCCCCATACTTTCATTCATTGAGTAATGTACAGAAGTATAAGTGAGCAATGTAAAGTGTAAAAAAATGCTTGATTTGATCGCGATATACTTTGATGTCTTTTCTTTGACAGAATTTTCAAGAGGCTACAGTACATCATTATTATGATTTACAGTTCAAACGGTTTAACACAAATGCATCCGTAGCAATTAAACAACCTACAAGCCGTATCTGGAAGCTGTGTTTTTGGTATTAATGAAAGAGTTGCTCTAGATATACGTTGTGACCTAAGCAGCAAGACAGAAAGAGGATTATCGCCACTATCTAGAATGAGAACAACTAAAAAGAGTAGTTGCTTGTCAGCGTCACGTAGTTCGGCACTGAAGGGGAACAGGGTAAACAATGGTGAGCCCATCAGCAGATTATGGTGGATGTTATTAATATTGTCTCAGTCCTCTTACTGCAGTCGCCCTCCATTCTCTCCCTGCACTCTGTCTTTATCGATTTTTTTTATTTTTAAATAGACTCTAAGAGGAAGAGGTGGAACAATATTCTGACCTAAATTCAAACGTTGTGGTGCTTATGAGCGCAGGCTACGTCTCCGAAGAAAGGCAAAAAGACTCTGCACCCTTCCCTAGTCTCATAGTCTGCGACACATACATTGCAGGCACCAACAGCGTTGACCCAGTCTTATGCAAATTGTGCTGTGGATGGTGAATTGGAATATGCTGTGTATTGATGGTAAAGTGCCCACTTTATACACAGCTGCACACTGGCATGGGGATCATCTTTACTGCAGTATGCATCACACTATGAAAGCGATGAAATATGTAACTTGGCCGTTTATCATAGTTCAGTTGGTATTACTGAAAACGTTGAGGACCCAATGCAGTTTCCCGTTGGTGATTAAAGCTTCTGTGTTTAGGATTTGAAAATTTCCAACAATGACGTATGCTGTAAAATCCCAAAAGACCTAATTAGCTATTTTGTTTTTCCGCTGAAAAAATATCTGTAATGAGAACAATTTGAAGCAGTATTATTTTTATTTTTATTTTTATTTATCATAGTTTTTTAGGCAACAGGGATGTACAATCACTGAAACTTAATATGGCAAAAGTGGAAGCAAACAGCTGCCTAGTCACACATCCAGGAGACACAGAGCAACACAACCATCTATTTGGAGTCGTGTTTCCGTCCACATTGTCAACAGAAGTCCAATATTCACTCACCTGTTAATAAATATCTGTTTGGCTGCTAATTGCTGCTTTAGGTCGACCAGCTAATTGCTAACTTTGTGTTGTGTTGTGTTGGTGCCGCGCAGGTAGTGTACAGTGGGTTTATCAGAGTTGTTTCATGAAAAACAGCTTCGTGATGCTGCTGGAAACAAGGTTGATGAGAGCTAACCAGAACATGAAGGTTGCAGGCCATCAAACCAAAACAATGAGCTGAAAAACATTGAAACGCTCTGTAGAGCTGGGTGATTATTCTATGTGGGTTTATCACTGTGAGCGACCCCTTTTATATTGCATGTACTGTGCTGTCATTAAAGCCATTGTTAATATAAAGATGTGTATTAGTGCACATACTGGCTTTAATTCAATCAGTAACCCCACTGCAAAATCTATCAAATTCTTTAAAACAAGCTGAATCAACACCAGTATGATTTAAAAAAAAAAAAAAAATCCTAGTTTAGAAAAGTAATGGTTTTCCAATCTGTGCCTGTATCTTTGAAATAGCAATGTGTTAACTGCACTGATTTCCCTACCCATGTTCCCACAAGACTCGATTTAGATGTGTGTGTGTGTGTGTGTGTGTGTGTGTGCGTGTGCGTGTGTGCGTGCGTGCGTGCGTGCGTGCGTGTATGTTCCGAAGTGTGTGTGTGTGTGTGTGTACGTTCCGAAGTGTGTGTGGGTGTGTTTTGTTAAGAGGCTTAAGAGGCTGACTAAATGAATGGACCAATTTGCCTTTGCTCTGCAATCATGGGAGTTTGTATGGGATTTAGGGTATCAGAGAAGAGTAAAGGAGAGCAGACATGTAATCAGAATTTTCTAATTTTGTCTCTGCTCTACTCTTCCCTTGTGTCTCCCTCCCTGTACTCTCATTGCGTTTTCTATCTCTCTGCTCTCCTTCTGCTCGTATTCTCTCCCTCCTCCTCGTCCTCCTCCTCTTCCTCCCTGCACATCTCTAACCACTGCTATTCCTAGTTTTCCATCAGGTCCCATCACCTGTTTTTAGCTGCAGGTGGATGCTTGGAGCAGGGACCCAGGCTGCCACGGGAACCAGGACCGCCTTGACCAACGGGGTGTGCTGCCTGATGTCCGACAGCAGCTTGTCAAAACCGTAAACGTGCAGCGCCTCGACCACCCGGGAAGAAATGTAGACGGTCTTGCCGCTGATCACGTAGTAACCCAACGTTACGTTGTGGGGGCTGCAGTCGTCGTGTTCCACCTGTGTGAGAGAGAGAGAGAGAGAGAGAGAGAGAGAGAGGAAAATTCAAGTTGTAGCTTTTCTTTTTTTTGTTGTTTCGTTTTGTTGTTCGTTTACATCTGTATTTCAAAAGGGACTGTGTACATGTATTCTAAAAACATGGTGATGCTAGTACGTCTGGAGGATTCTTGTTCTTATTTCAAAGCAAAGAAGACCCAGAAGAAACCGTATCAGAAGAGAAATCAGTGCTACCAGGTGAAACAAGACTATACAGGGGAAGAGGTGGTGGGGTGCATCCATATTTAAATACATGTTGTACTCGCTATGGGTTTAGAACACAAATGCACCACACTGAGGGTATTTATAATCCCTTTTTTTTTTTCTTTCTTTTTTTAATCTGCCTCAAAGGCATAGTTTAGCTTGAGCCTCCAACAGGGATAACGCTGACTAACTGTGTCCTGGAAAAACACGGGCAGACAACAATCGGCGGTGAGTCAAGACTCGTATTTCTGGAAGCATCCACCACCCACCTGCCTCTACCCTCCACCTCCGTCCACACTGGAGCAGCTGTGGCTGTTCTTACTATGGCCCTCTCCTCATCCCTCTTCCCCTCTCCTCTCCTCGGCGTTCACGTCCCTGTGTTTATTTATGTCTTTGTTAACAACTATAACTCATCCTATGCAGCGTCCATAACTGGTCACTGAATGTTTAATAACACAGCATGTAATCATACATATTTTATTAACCTGCCTGAGAGTTATTTGCCCATGTGTATAAACAGTGAATGATCCTGTAATAAAAAAAATAAATAAGCCTATATAATAATAATAATACATTTTATTTGTATAGCGCTTTAAAAGGTACTCAAAGGCACTTTACATGGTAGAAACAGAAACAATGAAAGCAATAATAATATAAACAAGGCAAAGAGATGAAATTATAAAAGTGAGAAACTAAACAAAAACATACATAAATAGCATAACAGATTAAAAGCAGATTTAAATAGATGAGTTAACAATATACATGGGTATTGTGTAATTGGTTATTCATAAATCATTCATAAATTGGGAATGTAATAATTTGAAGAATAGACTCACATCAGGTAATGTTTCCATCGTAATGCATACCGTTCTACATATAAGCAATTAAAAACAGCAGGTAATATAAAAACTACAATGTCCAATCACACGCTCCTAAAGTCATCGACATTCTATAAGCACTCATCAGGATTAAGCAGGATAAATTGCGCCTACTTAACAACTATGTTACTACAACAATACGATGTGTGTATTAGAACATGCATGCGGTTTACTGATGTATCTGGATAACTTGCTGAGTCATCCTCAGAACAGGCCTTTTCACGTGATCCAGATTCGCATTGATCTGCAGAGTTATCGAGATAAAGGAGTAAACCTGCTTCCTGTAATAGACCCTGCTTAGAAATATACAGTTCACAAAAAACAAAACAAAAAAATAAAAAAAAAATAAAAAATTTGTCGTATGAATAATCTATGTCCAACAGCACACTCCTGGACAGTAATCAATAGTTATCGTGGACAAATCGTTGACGGACATGGCTTTTCAAAATAAGGGAAAATTCATTGTTCATATTGATAAATAAATAACTAATTTAAGGTAATTTTAAGATACACCTTAAAACTCTTTTATTCTCTTTTATAACTACTTTTCAGAACATTGCTCTGGAGATGTTGGAGTTGTTGTTGGGACAAACTTATAAGGAACTATTGAATCACACATATCAAATAAATCAAAGACAGCCCGACAAAGGATTTGAACACCGAAGGGCCAAATGAAAAAGAATGCGAGAGGTTTCCAGCCAGCTACAGAACAAATTTGTGCACAACGGCAGGAGTATAAATCAGGCATAGCTGTGTGTTAATAACTCTGTGGTGCTGTCTGTGGTGCTGAAGTAGCAGATGAATAAATTGCACCTTTTCCTCTGAGTCTAGCCCTTCTGCCAGTTTCGTCTTGGATCTATTATATTCTGGGGGCAACCCTGCACCCTGTAGAAGCTGCAAGGTTTTTTTTTCATCATTCTTTTGCATACCTGAATCCATTAAAGACAACCAGACCTGCCCTTACCCCCTCGCTGTCACTTCTTTCTCCCTGCCAACATTTTGCAAGCCGTAAAACTGGCCAATTTCCACATGTGATTATGGTTAACCTCATTGTTCAATGATGCAACACATTAAACACTGCTGCATGCTAATTTCATGCTGTTTGACGATCTCCGTCGCTGCCGAAGCCAATATTTGCCCATCAACAATGCCTGAAAACACTGCCTGTGGCTTTTTAGAAAAAGAAAAAAAACTCTCTTTATACCGCTGCTGTCTCTCAACGGACTGATCCAGATTGAATAGCTGATGGAGAGAATAAGAACTGAGATATGTGTGTGTGTGTGTGTGTGTGTGTGTGTGTGTGTGTGTGTGTGTGT